TCAGTCGCACCGCTTTGGCACGCAACGAACCTAAGCGTGACACCGAAATTTTCGCCAGGGCCGAGACTGCCTATGTTGATGTGGGATTAGTGCAGCATCCTCGCAAGCGCCGCCGTTACCAGACTTCTTGCATTAGCTTGGGCGCCGAAATCGATGGGCTTCAGGGCCTGGTTTCGGCCCCCGGGCATCGTATTGGTGTGCTTATGGCCATCACTTCCGAGGTCGTGCGGCGGGGCACCTGCTCGGGCTCTTTCCTTGCTTCGCTGCTGGGGCTTTGGATTCATGTGCTCATGTATAGGCGCCCGATGCTGGCTCTCCTTGACTGCGCCTTCGCCGACAGCCGGCGCACCCCGGCGTCAACGGTGTTCGCTCTCAGCCGCAACACCTTGAACGAGCTGTTGGCTTTGGTGATGTTGGCTCCGCTTGCCCAGACCGACATGCGTGTGTCTTACGCACCTTTTGCGTTCTGCATGGATGCCTCGCCCACTGGTGCTGGTTTGTGCGCGGCGCCCCTGCCTGAAACTGTTGTGGCCGAGCTGTGGCGACAGTCTGAGCAGAAAGGTTACTACACCCGGTTGGAATCTCCGGCTGCTGCGCTCTTGCGTGAAAAGGGGCTTGAACCCGAGACTGTGTTCGGGGCCTCTGCTGTGGAGCCTCCGACAACAGTTTTTCCTTTGCCACCGGCCTTAAACGAGGGCATTGTGTACGATACCCTTGAGTGCTTTTCTCAGGAGGGCACTTGGGCTGCTGCTCACTCAGCCGCGGGTCTTGTTGCACATCCGGGGCTCTTCACTGCCGGTCGTCCGCTACAGTTTGCTGACCTCGCCGACGGTGACATACTGGCCCAGCTTGTGTCCTTAGCTGCCCGCGGTGTTGTGCGTGAGTGGCACTTTGAGCCGGCGGCGCGCAGCTTCTGCTTGTGGCGAACCCCTAAGCTTAGGTCCTCTGGTTGTCCCCTAGGGTTTAATCCCAATGATCCCGCTGTGGCCTTCGACAATCGCCTTGGGCGCCGCTTGACCCTGTTGTTGTCGCTCATTCACCGCTCTGGGCGTTTCTTCAGTGTAGTGCAGGGCTCTGGTAGCTTTCTCTTTAGGCTTAATGGGTTTAAGACTTTGGCTGTTTTAGGGTCGGCCTGCAGCGAAGTCTGCAGCTGTGCTTTTGGCTCGCCGTTCAAGCGGCCCGTCACGTGGTTCCACAACAAGCCTTGGGTTCTCACAGCGGCCGGGTCTGCGACGTGCTCCTGCACCGAACCACACGTGCGAGTTGAGGGCTCTTTCGGTGGTGCCTTGGCCCGTGCCGTTGAGGCCCGTTGTCGGCCCTCTGCCTCTGCCGTGTTTGGTCGTGCGCCTCGCTCAGGTGAAGCTCTGTCTCGTCTCGCTGCTGTTACGCCTGTCCGGCTTTGTCAGCGGCTTGCGTCTGCTAGTGTTGAAGCCCGCAGGGGTTTCGGGAGCCCTTTGCCTCTGTCTGCACAACTCGCTTGCGCCCAGCGTTTTGGGATGTGCACCTCGATGGATGCCACAGGTGACTCCCCCACTACAGCCGAGCTGCGTGCTTTCCACGATGATCCGGAATGGGTCGGCGAACTCGCTGACAGTCTTGAGTTCACTGAAGTCCTTCGTTACAGGTTTTCGCGACAGGGACACATTAACGTGCAGGAGGCCCGGTCTTACAAGACTTGGCTTAAGTTTTTGTGTCGCCGCCACCGTAGGTCGAGGGCTTTAGGGTTGATAGATAGTCGGGTTCTTCTGGGCACTGCCGCCAAGGGCCGCTCCAGCAGTTCGGCTCTCGGCCACGTTCTTCTCACCGCGCTGCCCTATGTCCTTGGGGGAGGCCTCTATCCGGGCGGTCTCCATGTCTATTCAGGGGCTAACCGAAGTGACGGCCCTTCTCGCGGCCGAAGCGTGGCACCGCCTACCAAGGACTGGCCCGTTTGGCTTGAAGAGCTGCGCGAAGGTAGCACTTACAGGTTCGACGTCTGCTTGGCCGCAGCCCGTGTGCCCAAACTAGCTGGCAGATGGCTGCGCTTGTTGCTGTTGCTTGGTGGTGACATTGAGCGGCATCCTGGTCCTGCTGGTCGTGTTCCTCGAGGGCCTCTCGACTTGACGTCCGGCTTCGCGACTTCCACTCGTCACAAGATGACCAAGAGTTTGGATGCCTTCAAACTGTGGCTGTCTGTCAGCTTGAACCTTACGTTTGCCGCTGCCATGGCCAGCGCCGAATCCGCAGCTACTGCGCTGCGTGCCTTCGGGCTTCACTTGTACTCCGAAGGGCATCCCCGCTACTTGCTTGTGTATGCCATCACGGGTGTACAGGACGCGTTCCCGGCGTTTCGCAATCACCTTACGCCTGCCTGGCAAATCGATAAAAAATGGCAGCATGTCGAGCCAGGCGAATGCAGGCCGGTGATTTCCAAGCCCATTCTCTTAGCTTCGGTTTCTTTAGGGATTCTTTGGGGTTGGTTCGACTGGGTCGCCGTCACTCTCGTGGGTTTCTTGTGCATGCTGCACCCTTCCGAGCTTATCTGTCTTCAGAGGAGCGACCTGGTGCTCCCTCACGACATGATGACTTCGGATTGTCTCGCTTACATTCACGGAACCCCAAAACAGCGCGTTTTGCGCGCCGGCAGCACTCGCGGTTAGA